TGAGGAGTGAATGAATGAGTGAGGAGTGAGTGAGTGAGGAGTGAATGAATGAGTGAGGAGTGAGTGAGTGGCGAGGAGAGAGAAGGAAGGGCGAGGGAGAGCCCAATGAGGAGAGAATAGTCGCTTATTACTAGAAACAGCGAGATGCAAAGAAGGCAAGCGAGGTTGTTTTTTCTTTCTTTTAAAAAAAAACAATCCTCCCACATCTGTTGCTATCTAGAGTGAACTCAATTTTGTGTCTTTCAGAGACACCTGTTTCAAGCCCAGTCTCAGAGCTCTATAATCCATGCCCACCCAATGCACCATCGGAAGGGTCTTCTTCAGTAGGTCTCCAGTCTTCAGAGCTGTGTGACCACGGCGCTGTGTGTCTGAGGGCGGCTTTCAGGCTGGTTCACGGTCAAGGTTAAACTCCAGAGTCCCTGCTGTGGAACTGCGCTGTCTCAGAGCCGGCCTGCAGGACAGCGCAGAACTGCCGTGTGCTCCGGAGCCTGCCTCTCCACGGGGGAGGAAAGCCCCAGCTTTCTCCCGGGGAGCGGCTGGTGTTTTCTAAGTGCCAACCTTTCAGTGAGCAGCCCTGTGCACATGTAACTCATGGGCAGAGCAATATTTTTGATCTACCATCTAACCTGAATACATAAGTGAGAGGATACGGTGTGAACGTGAGACTTGCAGTCAGAGCAGGTGCCCCCAGCTGCAGGGAGATGGCCCCGTGCCCCTCTATGAGCCCTGTGAGTGAGACTTAGCGGGGGTGGGGGGTGGGGGGTAGCAGCTTCTCTCGACTCACCTCCTCCCTTTGCTCGGGTTCTTCATCTCACACCCTGCTTGTCCTCACGGCGCTGCTCACCCTGTAGCTGCTGGTCCCCGGCATTGATCTGCCGGCTCAGCAGGGTCCACAGAGGGGCTGGGTTGGCAGCCAGGAGCCTGAGAGGTGCCCTTCACTCTACTTTCAGAATGCGTCCCCTGCAAGGACACCTCCTGCCCGGGCATCTCCAACCCGGGGGTCTCCGGCTCGGGCGTCTCCAGCTCGGGCATCCCCAGCCCGGACATCCCCAGCACGGACGGCCTCGGCCAGGGCATCTTCCACCAGGACATCACCTTCCAGGTCATCATCCAGCAGGTCATCGTCTGCCAGGTCAGCATCCACGACAGCCTCTCCAACCAGAGTGTATCTGGTTAGAGCAACACCAGTGGGGGCAGTACCCATCCGGGCACCTCCTGCCAGGTCATCACCGCCCACCAGGGCCGCTGGAGAAAGCTCAGGTAAGGGGGTAGAGTGCGAGGGGAGGGCGAGGGGAACAGGGCACGGCCCATGGGTACAGAGGAAGCACCAGAATTGGCACAGTAGGTGCCTCGGCCCATTTGGAGAGTGTGGGGACCCATGGGTGGGCAGTGAGGAGCCTGGGAAGATGGACACAAAAAGGAAGGGGCCGTTGATTGAAAGCCCAAGACGGTAGGAGAGAGGTTCCAGGCTCAGGCAAAGGGCAAAGCTGTGGCCACCTCAGAGGCTGTCCTCCAGGTTGGATTTTGAGGGCAAAGGCTCTGGGGTAGAGTCCTAAGTCTTTTCCTGGGGTCCCTGGGCCCTGCGGTCCGGCCACTTTCAGCAGCTCCATCTGGATGGAGGAGGAATGAGAGACTTTGACCAGTTCCGTGTGTGGTTTAGCTACTTACTGGGAAATAGAGATGCCAAATGTGTGCCCAGGTCTGGTTCTGCCCATAATGGAGCAATACCTCTGTCCATCCTAACGCTGCCCTCCTCCCATCCCAGGTCTCAGAAGATTCCCGTCCCCACATCTCAATAGGGTTAGGGCTGAGATCTCACAGGCTTGGAGATGCAGCCCAAAGACAGGGTTCCCCTTCACAGCCAGGCTTGTGACGAGTTGTACACTCCACGGTGGGCTTGGGGCCAGACACACCTGCATCTGAGGGCCTGTTCTGCCACTCACCACCTAGTGACTCCAGACAAGTCATTTAACTTCATCAACCACGGTGTCCCCACCTAGAACATGGGCATCTTCATCCCAGCTCCAAGGTGGCTGGGAGCATCCGAGAGGAGAGCATCTGGGAGGGCCTGGCTGACGCAGAGGAGCAGCTCAATGAAAGGGAGGCGCTGGTGGCAGGAGGTCCCTGGCTGCCACAGACGGTTTGCGCTGACCTCTTCCCCGCAAGGTTGGCCCTTGGAATACCCCCAGTGGTAGCAGAGAAGGAAAATCCTGGTGATTTGGGGAGCAGCCTCCACTCTGTACTGGCACAGGGTCGCTTTGAGTCAGAATCAACTTGATGGGTTTGGGGTTTTGTTTCCCAGTGGGAAGCAGGCAGCTGGTGGTGCCATCATCTGGGATGGAGCGGTCCTCCCGGGACCCTCGTGGGCCAGCCTCGTCTGCTTCTCTTGCCTCCTCCGTGCCAGGCTCTGCTCCGGCCTCACCCTCCCCTGTGTGTCCCACTGCTAGGTCCCAGCTTGCCCAAGTTCACCTGGGAGGAGGGCCAGAAGCGGCTGCCGCTCATCGGGTGCATCCTCCTGCTCATCGCCCTCGTGGTATCCCTCATCCTGCTCTGTGAGTGTGACGGAGGGGACACAGTGGGGCCTGGGCACTGCCTGGCTGGAGTTGGGGAGGGGAGGTGGCTGCCACAGGGAGATGGATGGTGGGTAGAACTCACCAAGCTGTCCTGCTTACAGAGAGCTGTTCTTGCAAATAACCTTGGACCAGAGTTAAGAGTGTGGAGTGTCAGACACCTAAGAATTGTCTTCCATCTGAGCAAATTAATGTGAGCTAGTTATGTAACCCTGCTGAGCACAGGTTTGCATCTCTAAATGGGAAGGGGTTTGTCCATGCATTCATTTGTTCATTCCATTTTCCATGTACACAAGGTCTCTTACTGACTTTCCTGGGTGATGATGAATAAATTAGGTGCCATGCATGCCTGGGACAAAGACCCATTCTAAAAGAGGACTTTTTTTTTAACTTAAACATTAGGAATACTGAAAGGAAAAACAAATCTCTCAGGAACCCTTAGTCCATGGGCTAAAGTAGTCACATCCCAGGGCTGACTGTCTGGCAGACCACAATGATCCAGCCTGGCGGGGCAACTCAGCAGAGAACGGAGGGGGGACAGACACCACACCATGCCTGTCTTCGGGAGATTGCATTCTCCTGGGACAGAGCTGGAAACAAACACCTGTATCTGAGGGTGACTGTCGGGCAGAGGTCAAAACAGCATCAACCTGGCGCATGGGGACTTCGACTGACAGCTGTGGGGCCAGTTGAGGATGGAGGAGACAGGAGAGCAGTTCCCACTCTGGGCATCAGGTGGGATGTATAGGTGGGCCAGGGAGGCCTGGGGGAGAGAGAAGGGGCCCACTGAGAGAGGAGGACACACGCTCTTTGGGGATCATGAGTTGAATAAGGCTGGACCCCATTGCAGAGAGTGTTACATGCCAGGCTGAGGGGCGAGCTTTCTCATCAGGAGGCAGCACAGAGTGGTGAAGGACAGGGTAGACAGACATTGAAGCACGTGGCTCTCGGGGCTGCTGGCGGGTGAGGACTCTGTGCTGGTGAAGAATATGGCTTCAGCATGAGACAGACCAGCCGTAGCATCCTGGCTCGGCTCCTTCCTCGTGAGGTGTGTCTCCGGCAAGTTCATCCCCTTCCCAAACCTCAGGTTTCCTACCTATCTCGAAAGGTTCCAGGAAGTCACTGTCACCAGGTATTCATAGGAACCTTTTGCTTGAACTTGCTGCCTGCCCTCCCCTCTCCATTTCTCCGCACCCTGAGCTGGACAGGACCCCCCAGGCCGTGCACTGAACAGAAGGAAGGTGGGGAGAGAGGCACCCGGGGTGGGGAGAGGGGCACCCCATAGAGTGGTGGGAAGAATAGATAGGGAACAAGCCCGTCTCTAGCGGGATTTAGGGTAGACTGTGACATTTACAGTTGTGGTTTGTGTTTTTAGTTGCTTTCAAGTTGACCCTACATGCATGGGGACTCCATGCACCATGACCTTAGGATCAGTCTGGGTCAGAGCACGGTGATCCATAGAGTTTTCTTTGGCTGGTTTTTGGAACTGAGTTGCCAGGCCTTTCTTGCTAGCCCATCTTAGTCTGGAAGCTCTGCCGAAGCCTGTGCACATCACAGCATCACCCAAGCCTCCACTGACGGACAGGTAACAGTGTCTTGGCCGGGAGTCCACCCTGGCTCTGCTGCAGGCAATGCAAGAATGCTACCACCTGACCATGAGAAATGTGAGCGGTACAGATCACCTGCACAGGGCTGAGCTTGTTCCATAGATTTCGGGCCTTCAGCATGGTTTCCAAAAGACCCTGCCAGTCTGTGAGGTGGGCCTGTAGCTTCCCAGAGCCAGGGCAGCGGTTTGATTGTTCAGGCCACAGAGCAGGTACGTGATGGCTCAGGACTGGAGCCGTGAGTCCTGTGCTGTCTCTGAACATGAAATTGTGCCCGTCTTCTGAGAGGGCACTGCCAACTCATCCTCTGAGGCTCGGTGCCGTGCGCTTGCAGAGGGAAGGAGTTCAGAAGGAAAAACGTACTCCATTGCCAGTGAGTCAATCCCAACTCCTAGCGATGCTATACAATTATAGTACTACCCTTGTGGATTTCCGAGGCCACAAATCTTGACGGGAACAGAATGCCTCCTCCTTCTCCTGCTGAGCGGCTGGTGGATTTGAACTGCTGACATTGTGGTTTTCAGTCCAACAAGTAACGTGCTATACCACCAGAGTGCCTCCAAAGAAAAGAATGGTAAAATCTGAGAGATTGGGAGGACTTAGAATCTGATTGATAAAGAATCAGGATCCTCTAACACTGACCCAGCGGACAGCTCCCGCTGGCTGACTCTGCTTACAAGACTTGCTGAAAAGAATATGCTTAAACCATCAATATTTTCATAGGGCTTTTTTTTGGTGGTGGTGGTGATGGTTTCAAAATTAACATTTTTTAAATGGGGTTTTTGTGCCAAGTATTCCCACATTGATTCCTCACAGCAAGGTGAAGCTAGGGCGAGATCCAGAGACAGGTGTCATCGTCGTTGTTATTGTAGTTGGTGTGGAGTGCTGTGGCATCAGCTGGGACTCCTCGGTGACCTTGTGTACGACAGAACGAAGCACTACACCTTCTTGCACTGTCCTCGTGGTCCCTGCTAGCTTGGAGCCCGTTGTTGCAGCCACGGGGTCCATGCAGCTCACTGACGATCTTCCTTTTTCTTTGTCGCTGCCCCCCTTCTTGCCCAAGCAGGAGTCCTTCTCCAAGGACTGGCCTCTTCTACAAACCTGTCCCAAGCGCATGAGACAAAGCCTCACTCCCCTTGCTTCTAAGGAGCACTCTGGATGTCCTTCCTCAAGGCAGGTTCTTCTCGAACATCGTCAACAAAATGCACCAATTCTTCTTGGGTCTTTGTCCCCCTTGTCTAGGACTGCTAAAACCGAAATACAGCCTTCGGATGGCCACAACGACCAGATGTTCATTCTCTCACAGGCTAGGACACTAGTAGGCTAAACTCAGGATACCAGCTCCAGGCGAAGGCTATCTATCCTGGCAGGAAGGACCCGAGCGAAGGCTCTTATTTAATTTCACCATCTGTGGACCCTTGAAGATCTTCATGGGTCTTGGCATCTATCTTACCCCAGGCCTAAGAGGTTCTGCAGGGAGGGACCTGGGTTCCAAAGGACACCCTCAGCTCCTGGGTCTTCTCTCTTGATGTTAGAATTTCCTTCTATCTCTGCTTCTACTCTCTCCTTTCACCTTTTGGAAGATAAAAGGTGATGCAGGGCACAACCCAGCGAGACTCCCCTAACAGCAGACCAGGCCTGTGACCTGAGTTAGGAGGTGGGACCTCCTGTGATCCCTCTGCAAAGGATTACATCATAGCACATGCAAGGAGGGAGAGTATCATTACCTAAATGCCAAATTGTATCCACAGATAACTGACAGACCACTGAGAGTCCTGGCCCATCCAAGTTCACATGTACTTTGGGGAAGTCAGAAGTCAATGATGCCCTTATTTATTGTCCAGCTCTCTCGTGCAAACGATGGCTTGGGCCAGGTGCACGTTGGTGCTCAAAGAGCTCGTTGCTCCTTCATACGTTAAGAGGTCGTTCGCAGCAGATTTGCCCAATGAAAGGGGCTGTTTGATTTCTGGAGGACGGCTTCCGTAGGGGTTGGCTGAGGATCAGAGTGAAATAAAAGCCTTGATAGTTTCAGTCTTGTCGCCGCTGAGCATGCTGTCACGTGTTGGTCCAGGTGTGAGGCTCTTGCTGAGGTGTGAGGAGCCTGGGAGTGTCGTGGTTATGCATTGGGCTGCTAACTACCAGGTCAGCAATTCAAAATTGCCAGCGGCCCCACAGGAGATAGACAAGGTTTTATAGTCTCGTGAAGGGTTTCCGTCTCAGAAACCCACAGGGGAAAGGTCTACCCTGTCCCCTAGGGTAGGCATCGACTCCATGACGGTGGGTTGGTTTGGGATGTCAAGTGCAAGCATCCAAAAGGTGACAGCCTTGGCTCTTCGTCAGTAAGTGCTTCGTGTTTCATTTGCTTTCAGCTAGCAAGGCCGCGCCATCTGCACATCACGGTCTTCCTCCAATCCCAAGACCGTGGTCTCCTGCATATGGTCCGGTGTCTCAGATTATTCGCGGTACCCAGCAATATCCCCTTTGTTTTGTTTGAACAACTGTCTCTTGGTCGATGTAGAAGTTCCACATGAGCACAATTATTTGTTCTGGAATTCTTAATTCTTCCCAAGGCTATCCGTAGGTTGTCATAATCCACACAGTTGAATACCTTTGTGGAGTCAATAAAACATGGGGAAATATCTTTCTAGTATGTTATGCTTCCGGTCAAGATCCATCAATAAAGATGTCCCTCATTTTTCTAAATCTAGCTTAACTTTCTGGCAATTTCCTGTCGATGAACTGCTACAGTAATATCTGAATGATCTCCGGCAAAATTTTACTTGCATGTGATAGTAATTATATTGCTTAATAATTTTCATATTCCATTGAATCACCTTTCTTTCAAATGCGCCCAAATATGAACCTCTTCCAGCTGGTTGACCAGGTAACTGTCTTCCAAAATTCTTGCACAGACAAGTGAACAATTCTAGTGCTTTGTCATTTGTTTTGTTGAGACGTTTCCCTGAGTATTCTGTCAATTCCAGAACCTTCTTTTTTTTTTTTCACTGAAGCTTCAGTACAGCTTAAGTTGCATCCTCAATGCTATTGGTTCTTGATCGTCTGCTACCTCCTGGGATGGTTGAGCATCAAGCAATGCTTTTTGGTACAGTGACTCTCTGTGTTCTTCCAACCTTCTTTTTATGCTTCCTGCAACAACTAGAGTTATTTGCGCATAGAAGCATTCAGTATTCACACTTGAGGCTTTGAGTTTTCTTCAGTTCTGTTAGCCTAAAAAATATTGAGTGTGCTCTTCCTTTGTGCTTTACACCTCCAGCTAGAACACCTTGCTGCACTTTCTCAGGATACCTTTTCAAATCTGCCGTCTGACTTTTCATTTCATCGCTTCTCCCATTTGTGTTAGCTACTCTGTACTCAGAGGCAAGTTTCAGAATCGCTTCTGACATCCATCTGGGTCTGTTCTTCCTTTCCGGTCTCTTTAATGCCCTTTTGGCTTCCTCATGTCTGATGTCCTGGATGCCGTCCCACAACTTGTCTGGTCATCGGTCATTAGTGGTCGATCAGCCAAACTTATTCTTGAAATGGCTTCTAAATTCAGGTGGATGTACTCAAAGTTGCACTTTGACTCTTACAGATTGGTTTTAATTGTCTTCACCTTCCACTTGAACTTGCATATGAGCAACCGAACATTTGCTCCACAGTAGCCCCTGGCCTTGTTCTGACTGATGATATTGCGCTTTTCCATGGTCTTTTCCCACCAGTGTATGTATCCCATCCAGCAAGATCCACACATATAACTAATTTTTTTTAAATGAAAAAGACTACTGATGTCAAGTTGATTTCAGTTCAGGATTCACAGCAGCCTCATAAAACAGAGTAAGAACCCTGCTCCACAGGGTTACAGAGGCTGTACGTCTTCCTGGAAGTGCACTCCCTTATCTTTCTCCCTCAAAGAAACTGGGGGTTCAAACCATCAACCTTGCAGTTAGCAGTACAATGTGTAACCCAAATGCCCCACCAGTTTATGGTATTGAAAAAGGTATTTTCAATTAATAGGGTTTTGGGGTTCTGTTTTGTTTTCAATGTACATCCCAATCACCAGTCATTATCAAAGCATCCTGACTGCATGTTTTATCAATTTCAGAAGCAGAAGTTGGTTGAAATCATCAATTTCTTCATCTTTGTCATACATTTGAATAGTAGTCATATTATTCAATGTATGGATAGTCTATTACTGATAGCGCTGTACTTCAGGATCTATCTTAAAACTTTTTTTTAATTTGACAAACATTGAATGTGACACCGTTTGTCTCCAATTTGTCAGTCCTAGCACAGTAGACCATATGATCGCCTGGTACCAGTCCATTCCAGCTTGCTAATGCCTAGGATATCTCTTTCTACTAGTTTTCCATTTCATTTTTGACAACTTGAATTTTCATAGATTCATACTTGATATATTTCACACTGCAATTACGAATGCATGTCTGCAACTATCTCTTCTCGTTTTGAGTCATGCCACACCAGCAATGAAAGTCCCCAAAGTCCCTCCGAGTCCCTCCGGTCAACTCTGTTTGGGAAGACAGCTCTTTCGCACTTGTCTTTTGAGGACCCGCTAACCTGAGGGGCTCCTCCTCCAGCGCTCTCATACAATGGCTCACCGGGACTCCCGAGGCTTTCCCTGGGCCTTCTTCATAGTCTGTCTCAGCCCAAGAGTTCTGCTAAAACCTAACCGATGGGTGACCCTGTTGGTATCTGAAATACTGGTGGTATAACCTCCAGCATCGCAGCAACAAGCAATCCACCATAGTGAATGCACTGACAGATGAGTTGGAGGTGGTGGGCAACTAGGGGGTCTCAAACCTTAGCCTTGGGTGACTGAGAGCACGGTGAGGCCTGGAGGAGGAAGGGTGGAGGAGGCGTGGGAGCCAAAGAGTCAGCTGAAGAGAAGAGGTAGGGTAAGGATTTGGCACAGGAGTTGGTTGGTTACGCAGAGGTGATGCTTGGCCATACAAGGGGAACTTTTACCAGGAAGTAGAGGTGACAGAGATCTTATGACAATAAAGTGACATGAAGTAGATGTGTACATATGGCTTGTTTTCTTTTAGACATGCCTAGAAAATCTACCACCTAGGGTTCGTCGTTGAATGGGAAGATATTTCAAGGTACAAAGACAGGTAGTTGAGCAAGTACGGAGCACAGGCAGCAAGTCTTGGTTAGGGGAGAGAGAGAAAGGAAGCCACCGAAGGGCTTTGAAGCAAAAGGATGATGTCCTTCAAGACAATAGGACGGGTGATAGGCGCATGTGTGCTACCGTGAAGGTAGAAATCCTCTCTATTGGGACTCTGTCATGCACACAGTGGAAGGATCACAGAGAGATGCTGAGAAGCGGACATTGGAGGAGGACGTTGTTTCTCTGGTTACCACCCAAGCTACCGCACAGGGCAAGGAAGCATCCAGAGTAGTACCCAACGCCAGACACGTCTCCCTCTTTCTCGCTGGCTGGCTGGCTGCTCGAGTCTGCCTGGTGCTGGCCTGCTTGCAGGAGCTTTCTGGAGAATTCCTGAGCAGCCTTTCTCTCCATACAGATGGGGAACGAGAACCCCAGAGTCCAAGAGGGATTGCAGGTCGGTGTCTCAGAACCCCTTGGGTCTTGGGCTACGTAGCGTCTTGTTTCTCTAAGACTGTCCGCGACCACAGCTGTCTGCTTCTTTTTTTCCAGTCTACTTCTGGCGGGGGCCCGTAGGGATCAAGTACAAGGAGCCGGCGGAGAGCTGCCCCAAGCACACTGTCCGCTGTGACGGGGTGGTGGACTGCAAGCTCAAGAGTGACGAGCTAGGCTGCGGTAAGGAGCCCGTGCAGAAGTGTGTGGCCGTCCTCTGATGGCTGCAAACTGGTGGAAAGTGTCCATCAGCTCAAATACAAGGCGGTGGGCAGGAAGCTTAAAGGACCAGCTCCTGGTGACAGCAGACCTGGGGTTGAGTGCTGTGTGACTTGGGCAAGTCACTTACCTTCTGGGGCTCTGTTGTTTAGTTGGTCAAGTGATTTGGACAAGGCTAAGAGTTCTCCACTAAAAGTGGATGGTCTCAATATCAGACTGGTCAACGCAGAGCAGCTTGGCCAGAAGAAGCTATGGGATGTGGAGGTACAGGGATGGGGCTGTACCTCCTCTTTACTAGCTACCAGATAACCGCTGCCTTCTCATCCCCATGGCTTCCAACACAAAGGTCATTTTACAAACTGCTGGCCTAGATGACCATCACAATGCTGCCTGAGCTCTCTTTGCTCTCGTCACCTGCAATTTGATCATGTAGCCCTGTTGTGGAGTGTCCATCGCGTGTGTACATCATCTGGGCCCATTCGACCTACATGGACTGCATGCTCACATGTGAGCAGCACATGATTGAGAGCCCCTGTGTCTAAGCCTGTGAGCACACAGTCGGACCGTGCAGACTGTGTTCTCCCTGGTCACTTTCTCATTGGACCAGGTCTCTGTCCTCTCGAGGCGCTGGCCCCTGGCAGTGCTTCCTCCTCTCCTCACAATAAGTCCTGGATCCCAGGAGACGGCACGCTTCCCAGCTGCCCCAGCCCCTGCCTTAGTTCTACTCCTCCTGAGGCTCCTGGGGTTCTAAGCCCGGACTGCCCATCACTCCCTGGAACCTGCTTCTGGACAGGACTTCTCAGAGCCTTAGTCAGCTCATTCCCCGGAAGCATGAGGCTTCCCGGGTGCTGAGACCTGCCCTGCTCTGCTCTTGCCCTGCAGTGAGGTTTGACTGGGACAAGTCAATGCTTAAAGTCTACTCTGCAACCTCCCACAAGTGGCTTCCTGTCTGCAGTGACAGCTGGAATAACTCCTACTCGGAGAAGACCTGCCAACAGCTGGGCTTTGAGAGGTAAGTCTGACTCCCAGGGCCCAGCTTCCTGCAGCCCATGGGCTCTGTGCTGGAACCTATTCAAAGAGCCCTTGAGAACCAGGCCCGAGGCACAAGTTCAGGATGCCCTTGAGTTATTCAAAGGGATAATGGCGCTGGGAATTTACTTCGTTATAGTAAACTGTTTCCATGAAGCCGGAGTAGTGATTTGTAGAGGAGGGGCTGAGATAACATCAGACTCCTATACAATCCTTTGCCTTCAAGCACCCTGATGTCCATGGTCACGTCCAATGGCCACAGAGGCTTCGTGAGATGCATAGACCAATGAGGAGGTCTTCACACATTTGGGAATAGAAGCTCAGATGATACAAAGATCTTTAGTAGGCTTCGGGCTGTCACAGTTGTGGCTTGGGTTAGGATGATTCAGGCAGGGAATGTGATGAGGTAGGCGTGGCCAGGAAATGCCCTCAGATTTGGGGCTCTTTGGATCAAGGATTCACAAGGGTGGGGGAGGGCGGGGGAGAGGAGCTATACCAAGGGCTCAAGTAGAAAGAAAATGCGTTGCAACTGATGATGGAAACGTATATACAAGTGTGCTTGATACAGTTGAATTATGGATTGTTATAACAGCTGTAAGAACCCCCAATAAAAATGATTAATTAAAAAAGAAGCCAGAGTGGGTGTGAGGGAAAGGGGCTTGCTGAGCAATGCCCTTTCCATTGAAGGGGTGGCTATTTTACAGGCCACACATTCAGCTCCAGTGTCCCTCTTGGTCTATGCATTTGGGGGTTCACCTGTGTTTGAGGTTGTGGGCAGAAGGGGTTAGAATATCATACTGAGCTCTCTATAGAAGAAACTCCTGGAGAAGTAGGGTTGGGGAGCTAGAACCTAGAACCAGCTCTCCTCCACCTTAGGGTTTTGGTCTGAATAAGGAGGACTAGGAGGGTCTGATGGGAAGACCACAGACATTTGTCCCATCTCCTTTATCAATGACTCCGTTTGTTCAGAGAACACTCATTAAACTTTTATTACATTCCAGGTATCATATGGCACCCAGACACAAAGGCACACGACAGGCTGGTTGCCCTTGAAAAGTTTCTAGTGTAGTGTGAGCGAGGCATGCTTAAACGAATGTGAGGTGTGCTTATCAGAATACGTGCAAAGGGCTCCTAGTTGCACTTGAGAAAGACAGCAGAGCCTGGAGGAAAGGGTACCCTGGGCAGAGGAACACGTGAGAAAGCATGGTCTCATGCTAGGGTACACCACAGTCTTGAAATGGACATAAGTTCCCGGAAGATAGTGGTCCATATGTCATCCACATCAGAATCACCCCAGAAGTTTGTAACAACACTGATCCACTGAGTCGTAGTCTCTGGGATTAGAGAGGGGATCTATTGAGCACAAGCTCATAGGTGAGGTCAGAGACCCAGTAGACTCAACCAGTCTAAAGATGATCCAACTTAATTAGACAACCCAAGAAGCTGAGGGTCTTTAACATGCAAGGTCTCATTCAGGAGGTCTAGGGTGATGCTGATGCTGTTCCTCCACAGTCCACACTTAGACCAGACAGGGGATAGATGGGCCCTTCCCCCATATGAGTGTACATCAAAGCAGAGACACATGGAGAGCCTATTAAAGCCAACGGCTGGGCCCCAGCATGAGTCTCTGATTCAGAAGGTCTTAGAGTGAAGCCCAAGAATCTGCCTCTGGTCCGAGGCTTTGAGAACTACTGGGTTGATGCACAGGGGTCGTGGGGTCAGCGGTGGACGATGTGGGTGGGACCTGAACTTCTGCATTTTAGGAGGTGGCCACCATCCAGACCACTACAGCCTGGCCCCATCAGCAGGGGCAGTGGGCACTCTAACCAGGAGCTGGGGGTAGAGTCTGCTCAAGGTGACCACTCATTCTTTTCCCCTGTCTTCCCTTGCAGTGCTTACCGGACGGCTGACGTGGCCCATAGAGACGTTGCTAGCAGCTTCTCAATCTCCGACTACAACTCCACCATCCAAGAAAGCCTCTACAGGTGTGGTGAGGGCAGGCCAGGCTGACTGTTCTGAGGGGTCCCTTTCTGAGCAGGGGCACGAGGGGATTGCAGCATCCGGAAATCCATGTCCCGTGACCCTTCTGGGACTCAGCCTCCAGGAGCCCATCATAAATGTCCAAGGACAGCTCAGAAAGAGTCTGCATGTACCCCATCGCCTCCTGATGCCCAAGTTCTGGTTTTAGGGTTAGCGCAGAGAGAATCTCAAGATCAGAGATGCCCCCACATTTACCTGGTTTCCAGGGGCCACTAGGAAACCTACAGGTCCTGGAGCTGTAGTCAGCCAGGTGCTTGGACTGAAAACTGCTGCTGGGAGCGGACTGGGGTAGGGTAGGGGGTAGCATCACTGATGTTGGGGAGGGAACATAGGCTCAGCAGCAGGGGGAGGGCTAGATGCAAGTGGTCAGTGACAGACACGTCCTTCTTTTCTTCATCCTCTGTGACCTTTGGTCTGCAGACCCCCCTGGAGGGCGAGGCAGAGGGGCGCTCCATCCGCTGGCATTGTTTATCTGGGGGGTGGGGGTGGGGGTGGAGATGCTAAGAGCAGGAGAAGTGGCTGCCTCCTGGAGGCCTGCTTTGTGCTGGGTGGGGTTGCCGCCAGGTGGGGTTGCCCACCCCGCTGCTGACAGCGCAGTGAGGAGCTATGTCAGAAGGCCAGTGAGCCACCTGTTCGGCTGGGCTTGTGCAGTCATGGTTCAAAGGTCAAGAAGCTGGTCCCTGTGTGCCATCTGCCGCAAGAAAGCTGGGGAGGGAGCAGAGAGGCTGCGCCCTCGGTCCCCCCGTGTCTGGAGAAAGCCCGTGGAGGACCTAGTCCATGGAGAGAAGAAAAGCAGAATCGGCACCACCTTGTCCCAGGGCGGTGTCCTTGGAAATGGGGCAGGAGTTGAGCAGGAGTCCCCCAGGATTGGTTTCCAGGAGGAGATGGCTCATATGTCTCCCTTCCCACCTTTGTGTCTCCCTGCAGGTCCGACTGCCCTTCCCAGCACTACGTGTCTCTCCAGTGTGCCCGTAAGAAGATGCTCTACTTCTGGGCTTGTGTAGGGTGGGCCTCAGCGGGGCGGGACGGTGCCCTCCTGGGGGAAATGGTTGACCAGGCAGGTTCGTGCAGGAAGAGGGGCTTGTCTGGAAGGACTGCTTCAGGGCTGGGGGTCTTAGGAGGCACTGAGGCCATTTCTGGGCAGCGTCACCCCCTGTCCACTGAACCTGGAGCCACGGCCTCTCTCATCCCAAGGAAGCCGTCGGAGCCTGTGGATTGCGGGCAGGGGGCAGAGGACTGGGAGAGCAGGTTCCAGGCCAGCCTAGAGCTCATGTGTCAATAGAGTTAGACCAAGATTGAGATCTGGAGCCAACCTTTAGTGCCCATGGTCTACATGCAAGGCACTGTGCCCATCTCTTTACAAACAGTCCTCCATTAACCCTATGAGGCAGATGCCACTCCCAAACCCATAACCGCAAAGCCAGTCCAGCCTGACTCATGAGGATGCTCCAGGACCGAGCAGAAGTCCGCACAGAGGCTGTGAGGCTGGGCTCTTTGCAGAAGCAGCCCGCCACATCTTTCTCCCACAGGGCAGCCGGTGGGTTCGAACAACCGATCTTTTGATTAGCAGCCACTGTGGCACCAGGGGTCCCTCCAGGGGGGCATGACTTCCCACCGATAGGTGCAGGGCCTGAAATGTTTCACTGGCTTTGGGGGCACCGCTAGCAGGCGATGAGCGGGTATCTGACCTCGGGTCTTTTATCTGTTCCCCAAGGATTGTGTTCTCAGGAATGACAGTGGGACACAGTGCCCACCCCCTCAGACCTCTGCCGCTTCCTCACCTTCTCTCCTCAAAGACCAGAAGGCATGAGTCTGAACACACTCCCAGGGCTGCTCTCCTTGCTCATCCCTGTGTAGGAGGGCTCGGTCCAGAACGATTAACTCACCCACCAGGGAACCCTGTGGGCACACACCCATCCTCTGTGTCATGGGAAGTGTCTTTACTCCATCTTTTGAATCACATAGTGGCTTGGTAGCCAGCCCCGTCATCATGCTTTGGATTGGCCCTCCTGAGCTCCCGTGGGCAGCCAGCCCTGGCATTCACAAATGAAACCCGAATCCCTGGCACTGTGTCCAAGGCTCTGGCACACATTGATTGTATTGATTTTTTAAAAATCATTTTATTGGGGTTCATACAACTCTTATCACAATCCATACATACATCAATTGTGTAAAGCACACTTATACATCCGTTGCCCTCATCATTCTCAAAATTCGCCTTCCACTTGGGTTCCTGGAATCAGCTCCTCATTTTCCTTTGTCCCCTCTCCCTCCCTCCCTGCTCCCCCTCCCTCATGAGCCCTTAACAACTTATAAATTATTTTTTTATCTTATCTTACACTGCCCGGCATCTCCCTTCACCCACCTTTCTTTTGCCCATCCCCCAGGGAGGAGGTTATATGTTGATCCTTGTGATCGGTTCCCCCTTTCTACCCTACCTTCGCTTCACCCTCCCAGTATTGCCAATCTCGCCACTGGTCCTGAGGGGTTCATCTGTCCTGGATTCCCCTGTGTTTCCAGTTCCCATCTGTACCGCTGTGCATCCTCTGGTCTAACCAGGTTTGCAGGGTAGAATTGGGATCATGATAGTTGGGGGGAGGAAGTGTTTAAGAACTAGAGGAAGGTTGCATTGATTTTAAAAGAAAAGCAGGCGAGCCTTTCCAGCCTGGGGAAAAGGTCCCCACTGGATGGGCCTGGCAAGCTAAGCCACCAGGTGGCAGCTCCACTTGGGCAGCAAACAGCGGGGCTCCCTCAGATTGAGTGAGAGCCATAGTCCCTGTGGGAGGGTGACTTCGGGATGGGGTCGCCCAGACTCTCAGGGTCTGGGGAGCATGGCTGAGACTAGAGAAACAGGGTGCTGGGTTTATTTCTTCTACTTCCCCCGCAGACTGTGGACTGAGAGCCATAACCGGGCGCATCGTGGGCGGGGCACTGGCCTCAGAGAGCAGGTGGCCTTGGCAAGTCAGTCTGCACTATGGAACCACCCACATTTGCGGGGGCACACTGATCGACGCCCAGTGGGTGCTCACGGCCGCTCACTGCTTCTTTGTGTAAGTGCACGAGTGGGTGGGTGACTTGGTGCTGGCCTGGCATCAGGAGTCCTAAGGAAGGGCTGAGATCAGACTGAGTTCCCCATGGAGGCGGACTCTGGGTGTGACTTTGATGCCCACTGGCCAGGAGCCGTGGCCTGGCTTGACAGTCACTCAAGGACCGTGATTTGCAGTTGGTATGCAATGCTGGGCGCATGAAAGGGGGGCGGCGGTACTTGTTCTGAACTCGCTGCCATTGACAGTGACGTAGGACAGGGTAGAACTTCCCCTGTGACTTTCTGAGCCTGCAACTCTTCAAGGGAGTAGCATGCTGCCTCTTTCTCCCCCGGGGCGGCTAGTGGTCTCGAACAACCAACCTGGGGGTGAGCATCCCAGCACACAACCTCTACCCCACAGGGGAGTGCACATGCTTAGTTGCTAATCAGAAGGTTGGTGGTTTGAGTCGACCTCTAAAAGCCTCAAAAGAAAGGCCTGCCTGTCGATTTCCCCCAAACCAGGCACTGGCAGCCCTCAGGAAGGCAGTTCTATTCTGATGCCCGTGGTGTCCCCCTGCGTCAGAATCCACCATCAGTCACTGGTGTCAGTGGGTCGGGGGGAGGTGGGGGGGGGGAAAACAGGAGCAGAAGGACCTGGAGCCTGGCCCTGAGGAGATTCTGTTGCTGCTTCCCACACTGGCACTTTCCAGAGAGAAGCCCAAGCCCACCAGGATCTTGTCCCAGGAAGTGAGGGTAGTGCCAGTGCCCTTGGCATCTGACAGTGGCTAGCCAGCCACGTCTCCGGTGGCTGCAGCCAGGGAGGGCCCTGACTCCCCTGGGGATACCCTGTCCCACCTGAGTCTCTGTCTCTGAATGCGGACACACTTGCTGGCGGCTGAGCGCTTGCCTTCTCTGCTCCCAGGGAGGGCCCCGAGGAGATTAGCAGTTACTGGTTCCCAGCACGCCTCGCTCCGAGCGGTCAGTGGATGTCAGAGGAGCACTGTGCTCCAGAGGGATTTCAAAGGCTGGTTTTTTGGAAGGAGAAAGCCAGGCCTTTCTTCTGAGGAACCTCTGAGTGGTCCCACACCTCCCACTCTGTGGTCAGCAGCTGAGCCACCTAGGGGTGCAGAGGAGATAGTGGTGTGCTGCAAAGAGCACTTCCTCACCTCTCCATCATGATAAAGGGAGAGAGGCCAGTTCAGAAGTGTGCAGGGAGAAGGGGGGTGAGCAATCATTTTGGACCCTTGGGCCATGATAGCAGGCTCCCTCTAGAGGTCATTTCGTCCACCTCCCTGCCTCCTGAGCTGGGTGTGTAGAAGAGGCTCCCCGTGCACTCTGCCTGTACCTGGACCCCGCTGTCCCGCGTGGTGCTTGCAGGACCCGGGAGAAGATGCTGGACGGCTGGAAGGTGTACGCGGGCACCAGCAATCTGCACCAGCTACCCGAGGCAGCCTCCATCTCCCAGATCATCATCAACGGCAACTACACGGACGAGCAGGACGACTACGACATCGCCCTCATGCGGCTCTCCAGGCCCCTGACCCTCTCCGGTGAGTGGACCCGTGCTGGCCGCACCCCAGCCGGTGCCTCTCCCAGTCCTTGTACTTGGCAGCAGCATCTTTCTCGTGTGTGTGTGTGTGTGTGTGTGTGTGTGTGTGTGTGTGTGTGTGTTGAATGAGGTGAAGGTTTTTGGAGCAGATCATGGGTTTTCTTACGCATTGTGTGTCAGCTCCTCTCTGGCGCCCTCTTATGGTATCCTTACTTATCATTACTGTACTTATCCTTCTGTGCTTCCTGCTTCCAATCCTCATCTTTCCTAACTCCCTGCAGTTTGTCTTGCTGCCCTTTGATCTTAAATGGTTGCTTATTCTAACACGGGGGTAAATTCACTTCCAGATCTGACTAGAAGGGCCATGGTCTTGTGTGTGTGTGTGGGGGGGGGGGTAGAGTAGGGGGGTGCAATGGAGTTCCACCAGTCTCTGTCCAACCACTAAACCTGAACTCTTTTTTTTTTTAAATCATTTTACTGGGGGCTCATACAACTCTTATCGCAATCCATACATGTATCTATTGTGTCAAGCACATTTGTACATTTGTTGCCATCATCATTCTCAAAACATTTGCTTTCTACTTGAGCCCTTAGTAACAGGTCTTCATTTCCCCTCCCTCCCTGCTGCCCCCTCCCTCATGAACCCCTGATAATTTATAAATTATTATTATTTTGTCATATCTTAATGCTGTCCGATGTCTCCCTTCACCCACCTTTCTGTTGTCCGTCCCCCAGGGGGGAGGTTATATGTAGATTCTGTAATAGGTTCCCCCTTTCCACCCCGCCCTCCCTTCACCCTCCTCCCCTCCCCACCCCCACAGTACTGCCACTGCCTGAACTCTTTTATGCATTTGAATTTGTGCTACAGTCCTCTCCTACTCTATCCAGGACCTTCTAATGGACGTTTTTCAGAGCAGTTGGTCGTGGTAACTGGGCACTCTCTAGTTCTTCTGGTTTCAGCCCTGTGGAGGCTAATGGGTGTGTGGTCCACTCGTTGATCTAAATGTCTGCACAGTCTGTGATGACCTTTCATTACCGTTCTTTCCTGCAGACAGGGAGAGACCAATCGTTGCATCTTGGATGGCTCCTCTCGAGCCTTTGAGACCCTACTTGATCCTTACTACAACAGTCTTTGTGAATAATGTTATGCCAATTGACCCCGGTGTCCCCCTACACCAGCAGTTCTCAACCCGTGGGTCTCGACCCCTATGGGGGTCGAATGGCCCTTTCACAAGGGTCGCCTGATTCATAACAGTAGCAAAATGACAGTGATGAAGTAGCAACAAACATAATGTGATGGTTGGGGGTCACCACCACATGGGGACCTGTCTGAAAGGGTCACGGCATTAGGAAGGTTGAGAACCACGGCCCCAGATGATGGTGCTGGTCCCCACGCCCAGGGGCTCATCCCTCGAGATGTCTGGTTATGCCTAAGAAGCTCACGTGACTTTTCCCTCTTTATACCCCGCCACATTCATGGGTAGATTTGCAGCCAAGGTAACATACACATGAAAAACTATCTCCTGCCAAACCTGTGTGTATTCATGGGTACACTCCCCCTCTCCCACACCTGTTCAGCCTGCGTGTCTCTCCAAGCACCTACTCGTGGATCCCCTCAATATCACAGTATTGGTCTCTTTTGCCTCTGACTCTCAAAACTTCCCAGGTCTTTCTCGGCCTTCATCTTTTACTGTTATTATTATTATTATTATTGGGGGCCTGTCTTGGTGTTCCAGAGCCTCAGAATGGCAGAAATACTCACAAAGGGGTGTGCGATCACTTCAGCTAACACCACTATTTTACAACTGGCAAAATCGAGGCCCAGAGCTTGAAACATAAGGATGCCCCAGACGACACGCCGCACACGCATGTTGCAAGCTGGCGGCAAACATAAGGATGCCCCAGACAACACACCGCACACGCATGTTGCAAGCTGGCGGCAGAGCTGGGACTTGGATACCGACCTCAGTCATTCTAAATACAGGTTGAATTGTTTGTCTGGTATTTACCCAGCACTTGACAGGGGCCACACACAGTGGCAGGCATTTTACCCGTGAGGAAATGAGAGAATTGCCCAAGGTAGCCCTGGAATTGGATGCAGGCCCCATTGGCTTCCAAAGACTGCTCCTCCCGTCTGGCTCTTTTGACTGGCAAATCCCTTACCTGGCAGGGGAGGCAAGAGAAGCTCACATTCAAACAGCTCGTTGCTAGGGAGTGGCGGCTAATGACCCAAGGAGGTTCTGAGTGCTGCAAAAAGTCTGAGGAGATGGATCACTGGGGGCTGAGGATGTGAAAGGAGGTTCCTTTCGTTCATGAGGGCACTAACCGATTCGCTCCTCTGGCGCGGGAGTCTGGTGACTAGATGAAAGGCCCTGGGGGTGCAGCTGCACAGGGCACAGCCCGTGTAAAGACTGACACGAATGGGAGAGGTCAGTGATGCTGGACTCAAGGTGGGCAGGAGAACTTTGGAGGCAAGCAGCATGGGACACCTACTCAGTCTGAGCAGGCTAGGCAGGCTCTCCTGGAGCAGGACAGGTAAAGTGGGTTCTGAAAGCGCTGGAATGGGTCTGGGAGGGACCCCAAAGAAAGGGCTGGGTGATCTTTCCCGGCCCCTAAGCAAGGATGTAGAGGTAGGGAAGACAGGAAGAATGTCTCCCTGGACAGACTGGGATTTCCGGAAGCCTTGGGGGACTCTAGTTAGGCCAGTGTTCTCTGAGGCTCTCAACAGTGTTTTTCTGGCATGTTCACTGTGTCAGGAGTCAGAATAATAAGAGCATCAGAGGTCTGTACAGAGGAGGAACCCGGGGCTGGGCGGGGCTGGCTTAGAGCCACGCCCACCGGACTCGGACCTGTTGTCCTTGAGCCTGCCTCCATTGCTGGATCCTCTGTTCCTGTTTGTGTGGGACCTGGGACAGTGGAAGGGCCCGCACTCCACCAACCCTGCCACCTGAGCCCCTCTAAAAGGAAGTCTGCCTCATCCACCTGTTAAAACCCATTTAGCTAAATACCCAGGTCTTACTTCTTCCCCCGCCTACTCTCCTCAATATTATTTGGAATTCCAAAATAAGTTCAATAATTTCTACGAGCAAATGAAAACTGTTCCAGGCTGGAAGGCGCTTCCCATAGCATACCAGTCCCTCGTCAGACCCTGGCAGTCCCCAGAGAATGAGCAGGCTGGCCTGAGACGGACCCTTTGGACTGTCTTGGAATCCCTTCGGTTATATGGTCATCTCATGTCCCTAACTTTGGGCTTAGAAATCAGGGCAGACTTTCCTAAAAAATCACACGAGGGCCAAGCACCTCAAAGTGCAGTGCTCTCTGAGAAGACTTGTGAAAACTCACCAGTAAATGAATTCACCCTTAAACAAAGGAAGCATGCAGTGGGCTACATACAAGTGCATACATCTTCAGGAATCTCTGGGTGTTACAAATAGTTAAGCGCTCAACTTCTAGCCAAGAGGTTGCAGCTGAAACTCACCCAAAGACGCCTTGGCAGAGAAGCCTGGCAATCTGTTTCTGAAAGGCTTCCGGAGGAGTTCTATTCTGCACACCCGGGAGTCACCATGAGTCAGTCAGGATGGATTGCACAACAACTAACAACGTACTCTCAAGACGCTGCCACAGGTGCGTCTGGCTCACGCCGTGTATTTTCAGTCGCCTCGAATGCATGTGAACTAGGGAGTCAAAGAAGAGCCAATGCATTTGAACGGTGGTGTTGGTGAAGACTGCTGAAAGTACCATGGGCTGCCAACGGAATCAGCACATCTGTCTTGGAAGAAGTACAGCCAGAATGCTCCTTAGAGGCAAGGATGGTGAGACGTTGTTATCAGGAGAGACGAGAGCCTGGAAAATGGATGTCATGCTCGGTAAAGTAGAGGGGCAAGGAGAAGCAGAAGGCCCTGGACAAGATGGATGGACAGAGCGGCTGCAACATGGACTCAAACATAAGAACAATTGGGAGGATGGCGCAGAACAGAGCAGGGTTCTGCTGTGTGTCAAGTCACGACTTGATTGCCCCTGACAACAACCCCACAGCACCACCTGGAAGATCACCACTGATTTGGCAGTTTATTGAACTGTGGTGGCCTGGATGTTCCTGTGAGGCTGGAAGCCATGGAATCGGTGCTTCGAATACTAACAGGCAGGCAGCTTTCAGTGGCACTTCTAGGCTGGAAAGAGGGAACAGACCACACACTTCCCAAAAATGGGCTGCTGAAATCCTTAGGAAAAGCTGTGGAACATTGTCTGACATCGTGCCAGACGATGAGCCCCTTGAGCTAGAAGATGCTGGAAGCACAACCACAGGAGAGCTGCCTGCCTCTTCAAAGGAGAGCCGACCTTCGTGGTATAAATGGAATAAAGCTTTCTGGTCCTTCATTTACGGATGTGGTGTGACTCATAAAATGAGAGGGAACATGTCCAAACATCTATTAATAGCTGAAATGTGGAACATGCAAAATAGGAATCAGGGAAAATTGGAAGTTGTCAAAAATTCAATGACATGCATAAAGATCGATATTCTAGACATTAGTGCACTGAGATGGATTGGGGTTGGCCATGTGGAATCAGACAATAATATGGTTTACCGGGCTCTGAATGACAAAGAGGACTGTCATTACAATAATTGTTCAAAAAGAACACTTCAAATATATCCTGAAATACAACAGTTGCTGAAAGGATAATGCCTATATATCCACAAAGAGATACATTAATATGACCATGCTTCTAATGTATGCACTAGCCACTAATGCCACAGATAAAGAAGCTGAAGAGTTTTACTAACTTTTGCTATCTGAAATCGACCACACTTGGAATCAAGATGCATTGGAAATTGCTACTGACTGGAATCTGAAAGTTGGAAACAAGTGAGAAGTATCAACAGTTGGAAACATGGCCTTAGTGATAGAAGCAACATCACCAGCTGCCACGGCAGAATTTCCAAGACCAACGACTTACTCATTTTAAGTACTATTTTTTTCTGAAAACATCAATGGTGACCAT